CACTAAGCTTAATCTAAAATACTCTATTATTCTTAAAGTTTTGTTGAATTTAACTAGAATATATTTATGAACTCCCCCTCCCTCCCCACTTCATGGAAAGTGACAGTTTGTTTCAGAAATGTAGGACTCAGAAAAGTGAAACTTGATTTAACAATATTAATCTAAAATGGATTTTAAATTCTCAACAGTAAAATTTCTAGTAAAATTTTAAATTTCATTTTTTATATAAATTAAAAAATTTTATTTGAAGAAGCAATTTTGAAGCTAATTGTGTTTAATTCTAGGAACAGACGTTGATTTCATTTTGAGAGAAGAAATTTGGTAGCAAAAGGACATTTGTGCTGGATTACTCTTTCCTAATTAAAATGGTGGGAATGCAGAGAATAACATATTGTACTTATGTGGAAATATTAATGCATTTCCCTTCTATCAATGTACAAGTACTAAAAGAGAAAAAGAAACATTAAGTATTTGGAGCTGATCGAGCTAAGATGTGACAATAATAAATACAACTGACTATGCAGTACAACTTTTTCTAGCTGGGTTATTTAAAACCCTGTGACCTAGTTAGACTGCTTGAAGAAATAAAATGAGCAAAAAGAAAAAGATCATCATCAGCAGCAATGTTAGCAACAAGCTAAAATTGGAAAGAATTTTCATTACCCTATTTAAAAAAAAAAAGACCTGCTTCCTCCCAGCCCAAACATAAATCCGCCAAGTGATAATAAAGCATCTGTTGCAGTGGCAGAGGCTTTTCCTTTTCTCTCACAACTGTGGTATACCAACCTGACCTGTTTTTTTGAGAAAAGAAATAAACCTAGCCACAGCATTCTTTTAATAAAAATATGACGCCTTATCAAAATGAACCAAAGGTAAAGTTTTCTGTTCTCGGTCCTGTTAAAAGATTGTGGTAAGTGAGGTGGTATTACAGCTTAGGAAATGCAAAGGCTACTGTTAATAGTATTGGTATGTAAGATCCCTACTTCAGTTATTGTTGTATTTTGATTTGTAGGCCAAATGAATGGCCAATTTTGCTGCTTACAGTGCTCCATCAGGCTTGGCTGCTACCTTCTTATCAAGCTTTTCACTGAAAACAGATGATATGGTTCTGCAGACAAGCCCTGGGTTGCTTATTACACCAACAGAAATCATAGCTTGTGAAGCCACTGTTGTACACGATTTTGCTTCTGGCACTATGATTTTCAGAGTGGATTTATTTCTATGATTATAAATACACACAAACTAAAAGTTGGTTCCAATGTAGGATTGCCCTTTTCTGATTGAAGGAAAATTAAGGCTAAAGTTTGTCTGAACACCTAAGACAGTCAACATTTGATTCAGACAAATAAAAATCATCACTAAAATCTTAGAATGCTGGAGGGAATTTGATAAGAATGAAGAAATTCCTTTCTAACACTTAGGAACATTTTAAGAACAAGTTATTTAACTCAAGGATATTGTGGAACAGCAAGACCATTGAAACCAGTAAAGTCTATTCAAGTGATGATGTGAAGAATGTAGCAACCATGTTGAATGGAATTGACTGGTTTCAGTACAGGATGATGCTCAGAGACCATAACTCCGACCTGCTGTGGGGAAAAATGTTGGTCTGAGGAGGAGGAGAGTGGAATACAGTAGCAGAAATTGTATTAAGGAACAAATACAATCCAAGACCTTTTTGCTAATTTCTGTAAAAACTGGTAAATGTGTTCAGTAAAAAGTCTAAGCAAGTGATTAAACAAATTAAGAATTCTGCTACCGCATTTTAAAAAATCCAACTAACCCAAACAGTTTTTAACTTTTAATTTGAAATGTTTCTCAATGTTCCTCTGTTTTCAAGCGCCAAACTAAACAAAGATTGGCAATCAGAAGATCAGCATGAAACAGTTTTTTCTCTATACTTTTTTTTTTATGCAAACCAGACCCACAGAATTATAGTTATACCACAATTTTGCATGTTTTAATACAAAAATGAATCATGATGTGGCTGAATTTGAAACTTCAAGAACTCACTTGAGAAAGACTGGGTTCCTGATAAGTACATTTACAGTTCTGGGCTTCTGATAAATAGAATTATAACCTAATCCACTGAAGTATTTTACAGGCTTCCTTTCAAAGTCTTCAGAATGTTTTTCTAACAACAATAAAGCAATCTTAAAACACACTTGTGAAATACTTGTCTACAGAAAAGGTTAATAAATTGACTTCCTCAAGGTCAGAGAGCAAACCTGTAGAGTGGGAACAAAAGAAGCCAGTCAGTGCACCTCTGCCACCAGATGGGTCTGCTCATCAGGCTGTATCCGTGGCTCTGGCCCAGGGTGGTTAAAAGCACTGTACAAAGGTGGTCAACTTCTGGTGCCAGAGGTAGAAAGAACTTCCAAAATTGGCTGAGACAATAAAATGTTCCGGCTGTGAACTTTGCAGGTGTCCTTAATGACTCTGAGGTTGTGATTAATATTCTTACACAAAATGTTCTGTCAACAACTACACTACGCTCTGGCACTTGCTCATTCTTGTTATCCATTCTGCTACCAATGTACAAAGACATTTTACAGGAAGATGATTATTTTTCTGAGCAATAAAGCCTCTAGGTGTGAGGCCAGCAAGTTAGGGCAGTGTGTTCAGATCCATTATCCACAGTATCTTGAGATGTGCAAGAACTTACCAGTCCTTATATATGGATCTAGAACAAATTCAAACTCAAAGGCAACTATGGCTGAGAAGAAAAGTAACATACTAGTACGGATGAAGTAGAATCAAAGAAAACTGTTAGTCAAAGAAGGAGAAACAAGAAGGGACAATAGCTGACGTATGCTGCACAGCATCAGAGAATGCGGATATTCACAAAAACTAACCTAAACCTTCCTGAGGCTAATGAGCAAGGCATGTTTTATAGCTAAAGGATTTCTCTCCGGGGTGATTTCTAGCAGAAATTAAGTTTAGCCATCATTATGAAGGCAACTGAGGCAACTTAGTTAGCCTTTGCAACAGTCTTGTCCTTCACTGTATCTCTGCTACAGAATTTTATGCCATGGGGTTTTACTAACTCGTTTTTTTTGAGTAATGTTTACATATTTCCACAAAACTCTCCTTATTTCATCCCACTGAAATTTTACAGGAAAAAACAAGTATGAAAAAAAATGTTCTCATAAGAGCTGTGTGCCTTGTTCCCAGAAGAATGAACTCAGCTGCAGGAGCCCAAGTGGAGCATCAGTAGCATTTTGCCACACCAACTTTCAAAATTAGGGCTTTAGAGATTTTAATAGAATGGTTTAGCTGGAAATAATTAATTTTATGAGTGCCTTAGAATTAGACAATAAGATATCATTTTACCCTAAACTGGCCGGGAAGCGTGTAGTAAAACTCAGCTTGGTTTTCCTCCCCAGGTGATCTAAAAGCCTTTACGGCATCTAGATCTTGTGTTGACAGGAGGGCTGTTCGTTCAAACAGGTTCAGAATTTCACCCTCTTATTTTGGGCTTGAAATTTGGAAGTATGTTGGTTAAGACTTTTACATTTCTTTCTATCTGTCCATGGTGAGGTAATACTAAAAGTTTTAAACTATTCTTTTGAGAAATAAAACTCAGGTATAGAAAATAAAGGAAGAAAGCTGGGATTGTTGGTATAGAGCCCACAGAACATGTCTTAACAAGTCAAACAAAAATACATGTTTTGTAAATTATGATTGCCTGCAAATAACCTTGATACACCACAGGTCTCAGCTGATCAGAAGTTTTTTCAAGCAGCTCTTGATTTCACTATCCTCTAATCCTACAAGTTGGTTAGTAAGTCATCAAAAGTTTCTACCAATTAAACACCTTTGAATCAAAGTGACTTTCCTAATAGTGTAATGAAACTACATGGGAAGACCATCAGCAACCTGTTATAATGTTAATATATTAAATCCACCACAGCCTGTTCAGTTGCTCTAGAAATGCCAACTTGTTACATGAAAAGAAGAAAAATATGAACACAAATAAAACAAAGGCATCTGAAACTTGCTTTCTAAATGTAAGCGATTTTGTGCCCAGCTCCAGATATACAATCATCCTGGTTTTGAAAACAGGGGTGGTTAAAGAAATATATTTTGAACCATTTTTATTATTGAAGTGAAAATTACATTTGATAGTTTTCTCCAAGTTTAATTTTAAATCTCGTTATCAAAAAGACTGCCATTATGAAATCATGTAGCAGTACAGTTAATATACATAGACTGTAATTTAAGGACTATTGCCAGTGTTACCCATAATTTTTTAATTCTCTAATAGAGACACATATTTCTAGCACCACTGCAGTAAACAGTGGTATATCCTTTCAATATTACTCTTTCCCTTCAAATTCCAAACATAATTTTGATCATAAAAATATGATAGCTGAAAGCTAAAGTATCTTATGGGGGGAGGATTGGGAGATGATACTTCTTGTTTCCAGCAATATTTTGACTTGTAAAAAAAATCAGTTTGGAAACTGGTTTTATTTCCAAAGAAAAAAACCCACAAAAAATAAGAACCATCCACATTCAGTTTTAATATTAGTTACGCTAGAAAGAAGTGATTTAACTTGATAGATATTATCTAGAAATTTTTATTGCAAAAGCAAATAGCTATGAAAGCTTGAAAGGAGATAAAAATGGGGTTTAAAATGTCACGGGAAACAGCATACGCATTTTTTTCTTGACTTGTTCTTTGGAGTAAACAAAATTCATCCTCATCCCATTACAAAGGAAACCTCAAATAATCTTTCTGTAAATTAGTGAGTGAGCCAATTAATACAATGTAAAGAATTGCATCCAAAGGAAAGGCATGGTATTTCTTTTGGTACACAAAATAAAAAAAATATTGTTATATGTGTAGGATTCTACATCTAACTTAGTTAGCAGTTTTGTGTGTGAGAAAAAAGTTCCTGCTTACTTGCTCAAAATATTAAATTAGGTACCTTGTATACTACCATGTTTAAAGATTATCAGATAAAGCAATAACAGAAAAGAGTCTCAATACTCACATTTTGTTTTAAGCTGCTTCTCTTGGTAACTTGTGCAGCAAAATAAAGGAAGAAATAATTACACGCCTTCACAGAAACAAGTTCATCAAGTCCAAAAGAAACAGAACACTTTGCCAGAGCTATTTGAGGGTCCCATCAGAATTTGGCTGGATGGGGGAAGGCTGAGGGTCAGTTTGTTTCCCTTAGACCTCATGACATGCAAATAGCTGGCTGCTTTGCCACTGAATCAAATCATTCTTTGACATACTGTGTTTACAAATTGCAAATACATACCATGTAGGAGGTTCTTAAAGGAGCATATTTCTGAGAGTTGTCAAAAGGAAAAATGCATTTCTCTTAAAATACCTAAGGAATCAAAACCCCCAGCCCCCAAACTATTCAGTGAAAAGAAAAAAAGAAGGAACATTATTCATCCCCAGATACACTTTGCTTCATGCATAAAGAATCCAAAAAGTCTCATGTGGGTTTGTAAATCAGAAAAGTCCCAATTACTAAAGTCTGATTGTTGTTTACAGGAAATGGGGGGCAGGTAGAAGCCTCCTCCAGTTTCAGAGAAGACATTCAGGGACACAGCAGAACTTCTCTGAGACTATAAAAGCAGTTTCTGGGCCGGATCAATTTGCTGATGTGCTCATACAGCGATACCACCAGAGTGGCAGCAATGGCCTCCTCTAGGCTCTCTCTCAGTCTGGCCTTTGAATCGCAGTCACCTCCTTTACTTTGTGCTCGGACACAGCAGGGGCCAGTTAACTTTCACAGACAGGCTCCATACAGAGGTCCTTACACTTGGCATAACACTCCATGCAGACCTTTAATCAAACCTGAAAGTAAGGATACATGTGTCCATCTAAAAATGCCAGCTGAAGTTAAGCAGAGCAAAAAAAGGATGGCTGCTTGTGGTATGAACCACGACTGACCTCCAGGCAGATTTTTCCACAACCAAGAGCCAATAGATCTGAATCACTTAGTCTATAACGTCAAGTGGGTGGGAGCTGCTTTATATCACAGATAGACAAAAGAAGGAAATGTTTAAAGATGTATTACATTATCTGAGTACTTCAGTAAAATTGCCAAATCTGGACATGTTCTGGAGGTTATCTGTGTCTAGGAAGTGTCTTGCAGTTAAGACTGATCCTCTAATATTTTTGCCAAGAATTGATGATCTCTGCTTGTGTATGACTGTCTTGTTAAACCTCTGCAGACACTTATTTTATCATTACTTAAACTAGATTGAACTCTTTTCTCCTATTTTTATATGTGCTATAAGCTTTATTTATACCAAGCATCTTTTATTTCAAGCCTGTGATTTTTGCAGATTGATGAGAGGACAAGTGAGGTGTGAATTTGAGTCCAGAATGAGAATCATGAATAGTTTTCTCTTGCCTTTGCTTCCAGAAAGAGAAAACTGAAAGTACAATTCTTAACCAAATACCTTTTCTAGTTCATAAAGCAGATCAAGACAAAAGTATTATCTCAGACAGATCTCTTGAAAGAGGTAATGACACTTGTAACACAATACATTCTTTCCATAAAGGATGAGAAGTTCAGACACCTCCTCCAGCACATCACTTTCCTCATGCTTCAAAGACTACCCTCAAATTTGGTTAACAGTAGACAGAGATAATAACTGCATTAATAGAAGACAGGCCCAGAGAATCACTTAAAACAGAATCAGAGTTTTTGCCAATGGTACAAATTAAGCACAACTAAGGAAGCCAACAAGTCTGCTGTTTCTTCAGAGTATCAGTTAGATGTTTCCCGCAGCTCTCGCATCTCTTCCGGAACTTCCTGAAATAGAAAGCAGCTTATTTTCTCTGTTTCCTGACATGACCCATCTTGACCCACCTTCCTCTTCATGTTAAGGATTTGGGAAATTCATCGAACAAATGGTGGTTCTCTTTAAACTACTGATGTTACTCTTCCCAATTTAGAATATTAACTATTTAAAAAGAAAAATGCAAATAGATGGCATTCCTTAACAACTCCTAAAGAAAATAATAAAAAAAAATGAACTTGTTTTCCTGAGAAAATATCTTTGGCATTTACTGAATATGTTCTGTAATTTGGGCAGGTAGAGAATGGACTCTGGTCTCAAAGTACCTATAAAGTACAACTGTTTTCCAAAAAGTTTGAGTGCTTTTTGAGCCTCCAAATCCATGCTACACAAAGGAAAAATCATTACATGCCTCATTCTTATATTCCTCCCCAAGCGTCCACTTTGGGCCTCTGCTGGAGACACAATACTGGGTTACACTGACTTTCAATATGACCCCCTACAGTCACTCTAGTGTCATCTGCAGGAGTACTAGACTTCCTATTAAATGAGAAAACCCATATCTACCCAGTTTTGTAGAAATTTCCATTTTCTTGGCCTACTCTTACTTAATAGAAAAAAAAGTTCAAGGAGCAACCACTTCTTGAGCAACCTTATGACCCTACACAGAGAACAGAACTACTGCAGTTTTATCTGAACAAGCTGCAAGATGGGTTCATGCAGACAATAAAACCTAGTGACATTATTTAGGAACTTGTGCCAAGTTTTTTTTAGGAAGCTGTGAAACAAGGGAATTGGAGAGAAGGCTGAAAGTTCTAACAGAGCAACAATTTGCTTATTTCCAGCAGACCTGCAAGTAATCAACGATAAAAGCCACATTTTGCCATTTAAAAAGAAGGGAAGGCGAGGTTGTTGCTGAGAAAGGTGTTTACCTATGGCTAATGCATCCATTCCAATCTGCTGAGAGTAGCAGCATACAAGGCTGTAAGATGAATGTTTGTAAGAAGTTGTGTATAAATACACACATGCATCTTATATACATTGGTTTATGAGTCTAAAAATATAATAGAGATGTTTAAATACCATAGGTGAAGGGCGTGAGAGGCTGACACTAAATATTTGAAACTAAAGAAGTGTTAATTTGTATACTTTGTAGTATACAAAGTGCCTTTCATTTCCCAGATATTCCAAACGGCAGTTTTGTTTTGTGAATTGCACCTCTGATTAGTAAGACAATATTACTCTTCCTCCTGCATACATTTCTCCTACAGAGAAAAAACCCTCATGAATTAGTAAAACATTCAGGACTTTGTGAACATTCCTTTTCTTTCTCTTTCAAAATACTTCTATATCATAAAGACTGAATTTCCAAATTTAAGAGACAACAAAAATACCTGTGAAAGTTTTCCAACCTTGAATTCTGTTAGTAGCCAGAAGAAATTCTCTAAATTTTAGTGCTTCCCTTGTATCTACTTCAAAGAATCTATTTTTTTTTTTTAATTCTTGTAACCTTGGCTACAATATAGCAAGTCAAATTTATGATAAAGTAAATTCTGTAGTAAGTTCATTATTATTCCACCATAAAAATAGCAAACAAAACCAGAGGGACACTCAGAATGGGGTGTTAAATCAATTGGTGCATATTACCAATTGCTGTCTGAAAGCTGCAAGTTGTAAGATGATCAACCACTGCTGAAGTCAACAGAATGCTCTTTAAACACTTCATCATTTAATGTTATTAAAATAATTTCATATTTGGATACAGAATTTCATATGGCATATTATTCAAAAAATAGTTCAATGTAATATAAAATTGTTTACATTCATTATAGGAACTTAATAATTATTTTGGCTGAATAACAAGAAATCAAACCTATTCCCTGTATGCAAACTATTTCTTAAACGAAGTTAAACAACCTGAATATTTTTCATCTTATACTCCTCCTTGCCTTTTACTGTCAGCTAAGATAACCTCCAGCCAAAGAAAGAGAAAAAAATACCTTTACTTCTGCCTTACAACTGGCAACCTGTTTTGCCTTGCAGTTGGGAAAAGATCAACACTGACATGAACATAGTTAAACATTAACACCTTTTAAATATGTATAAAATTCTGTTGTTTACCTCACCAAAATAACTTTAACCTTGGTTACTCTGTTACTGAGCTTTCACACTTGGCCTCTTCAATTGCCATTTGTTGCAATTTCAGGCTTGGGCACATTTATGATTAAGCTCACAGAATACATGAATTGTTGGAAAACAGAAATATTTGAACAGAGTAGGGCTTGCACAGAATTTGCTCTCAGCATCAACTTTGGCAAGAATGGGTGAATGACATTTTTAGTGAAAAGAACTCTTTCTTATTACTCAACCTTGATTTTACGCAACTCCTTGTAATTACACACATGAAATCAATGGGCATTACTGAAGTCATACAACTTAAGTATTTTCCATTTGAAAATTATCTTCTCTTACAAATAAGTTAGAAGTATATTTGCCATAGAGGAATTATGTCATTGATAGTGGCAGAACTCTATTTTACACATTTTTGCACTTCCTGAAGATATTACTGCTAATGTAAAAATAAGGCTGGTAAAAAACTTGAGGGAAACACTGTAGTCAATATTTCAGTCTATGAAGTTTATGTAGAAAGATCATAAACTAAATTCTTTTCAAGAAATTTGGGATAAACAGAACAAGTTCTCTCAGGAGCTGGAGAATGCAAACAAATGCTTCTAACTGCTATGGGAACTGGATAAGCACTCAACAAGCCTTCCAAATGAACATCTAGCATGTACAGTATGGCAGGTGTAACAGTATTTATCTGCTCCCAAAATACCAATGCAAAATCACCTCCTCTGTCTGAATCACAAGTTTTAAATGAACATCTATTTTGGACATTAGCAGAATACATTAATAGCATAAGTGTGCTGATTTTCCTAAGTTTTCAGTACATTTAGAAACTCACATTAGTACTGGGTCACTTTCTTTTAAGTTTAGCAATTAACACTTGCACACAAATGTTTTTACTGTTACGGTCCAGTGAACAGAAGCCAAAAACACCCACTAATGTATGAGAGTAAATGTGGCCTTCATTGGTATAGTATTAGGTACCAGTATATATTTAAAAACTAGTGTTTGAAATTAAGATAGATAGGCCTTATCTCACTATAAATCCAAATCAGAGAAGTGAAACTATTAGCCTGTGTGTGTGTATGGAACAAAATACACTGTTATTTGAAGAATAAACATCTCTTGAGGCCTCATGTGAAGATACCAATTAGAACCCACTAATTTAATACCCTGTGTCCACAACTGTGCTCTGCCACATCTGCATTTAATGTGTGTTAAATGTACACTGTAGTACTGTATAATAAAACTGTTTGCCACCATCACCCAGCAACTGTGTTCCCTGGTTGTGATTTGCAATTGTTAGAAGCCAAATTTTAAAGTCTGTCAAGCATTTTTTGTCATTCTTTTCTACAGAATAAAGAAAATAAAATCTGACTATATCATGGAAGTAGATGCACTGAATAATAATTTTATTCCTCTGTTACAGAAAATTTCCTAGGTCTCAGAACAACATCTTTGATAGAGGTAGTGATTTCCTGGAGCTCTTTTCGAATGGTATCTGCTCCTTCCTCCTCTTCCCTGTTATCTTTTGTGTCATTCTCTCCATGTTCAGTTTTCTTAGTCTGACTGATCAATTGTTTCACCACTAATCCCTGGTATTTGACTAACAGAGAATGTTGATCCTGAGGGCAAAAGAAGAGAACAAAACAAAGGGATATCAATGTTACAGAGCAGGTAGACAGGTCTATAATTAAAGATTAAATTTTTAAAAAAGCATTTCCCCATTCTTGCCCAAAGAGAGTTAGTGATACATATTTTCATCAAGGTATTTGACAACCTTAATTCTGACAAACATTCAAAGAGGCAGAAAAATGAAAGTGCGTCCATGCTGCAAAAACTGGACACTTAACAACTGAAGCAGGAAAGCAATGCAGTTAGTAAACATCACCAGTTTTGGCAGCATAAAATACAGGATTTCAGTATTTTTGCTTTGGAAGAAGTGTATTTTTCTTTAAAACTGAATTAGAAAATTTTAAAAAGCAACCATGCTATAGCTGAGAAGAGAGTGTAAAAATGTTCAGTTATAAGAACTGTAACTTCCCCCAATACAGAGTTGCCTCTATGAATAACAGCAAAGTACTAATAACAGATTGATTTTTAATTTTATTAAAAAAAAATTGATGACAGATCCATGAAAGGAAAGGTTTGAAATACAGTACAGGTCAGAGGGATTGGACATTCTGTACATAAAGTAATGATCAGATATGAAATGCAATGGTGCCAGGTTTATGCAGCAGAAATAGTGTCAAGCACAACTTTTATGTTATGTCATAGATAAAAGGTAATTTCCCCTTAAAAAGCTAGGAAAGAATACCTCTGGGATCTTGCCACTTAGGAAATTAATGATCTGTGGTACTGATCTTCCTGGTGCATGAAGCATACAGTGAGTTGAAAACTGAAATAACAGTACTGATGTCAGGTGCAGAACAAGAGCTGGATCTTCTGTGACTTTCAGTTGTTCAATCAAAGCTTGCCTATGTTGAAACAGGACTTGCCTAAGGAACAACAATGCATTAAACAAAAATATGATTCTATGATTCTATCATATAGTAGTTGATCATAGACTATAAAACATCTAACATCAGTTATTTTAATTTTCTCCTCTGACCGACCATTTATTTATGTGAAATTCCAGAATAATAATAACCAAAAAAAAGCTAGCACTGGTGTAGCTCAGATTTTTAAAGACCCCTAGAGAATTTATATACTATGCTGTAGCAAGCAGTGAGTCAAGAAAACTAGCTAAATGTGAATGCTCCCCTCCTCTGTTTTCCATGGATTTAGCACTGCTTGACTTTGTATTTTTCCATTAAACGGTTTGGAAAGAAGGACTGCCTCTTTTATACATTCTGTGTGGCTGCTACCAAACTATCTAGCATTTGTGCAGCAATATAGCTACATTTCATAGAATAAATAAAATTAAGGTACCTTTCCTTCTTTTTGTCTCCTTTTTTCACCATAATACCACAAATATCCACTGCAGAATCAAGGCATGAAAGAAAATCTTCTACACTCTATTAAAAAAATGATATAAATATTTAATCTCTGTCAGCAGATTATAAAAAAGTTTAGGCACTGTTCACAATTAATCACACGAAGAGATGACTGTGAATACACTTGAAATAAACTACAGAAAAAAAGAGAGAGTAACAAGTAGAAATTAACTTAATTTAGTAGAAATTAACTTTGTTCACTTTACAATAGTTCACACACTTAAATACTAACCCAAACTGTAATTCATTAGTCTTAAAAACGGATACATGTTCTAGAATTATTTACATTTTTTCTTAAGAAGCATATTGTCATCTGTATAAGAGAATTAATAAATAACTCTCCTTTGCACCTACACTGCCATAATCTGAATGTTCGTTTTCTTAAAAAATATCCATGATTTTACAAGTTAAAAAAATACATGGGAGAAAAATCAGGAACTTTGGGAACAAAATACAAGAAATATCAACCACTTAACACAGGAGATTCTCTCTCAGTTCTTACTTTTCTCAGCTGTCCATAAAAGATGGCACATATTGGATTCCATCTGACAGTAAAGAGCTAGGTGACCATCAGTATCAAAACGTTAAGATCAACTTTTCACTTCTGAAAATTCAACACACTCTCACTGCCTTATACAAATTCAAAAGATTATTTTGCCTTCATTCTTCACAGCAGCAGGGCTTGTGTACTACACTATGTACGTCAGCTATTTGTTAGAATTGTATCAGAAGAACAGAAAATCTGAACTCGGATTTGGATCACTTTACCTTGCCATTCAGAGAAGTATGCAGTTTAGTTAAAGGACCTTTGGTGTCTTCTGGCAGTTTACCTAAAATCTTCGTCCTGCCCTGTATGGGACCAGAATGGAAATAATCTGTAATATTAATTATAATTTTACATGTAGGTATATCTAAACAGAAGCAATTAAATACCAAATGAACATCACTGATCTACTTGAGACTGTTAAAATGCAACTGTTATCTGTGTACCTCACTTGTGATTGTAGAGTAGTTTTCTGTTGTCATCATTGAATCAGATGCTAAGAAGTTGAAAATAAGATTTGTAATGTCTGTACACACAGTCTTCAACAAGTGTTTGGCAAGGTTAGTCTGAGTCTCATCTGTTAAAAGAAATAAGTGATTAAATTCACTTATTATAGTTATCTGATTCCTATGACATTATCACAGCACTTCCCAAAAGATAGAATCAATCATGAGCAGTATGAGAAAGCTATCTGGATACACGAAGCTAACATCCCTTATTTGCTGTTTCTAAAGGAACATTCTTCAATAAAAAACGTGAGCTTTCAGGTCTGTAAGAACATTGTAATGCATTGTTAGTATTTCAAAGGTGTATCTGTATAAGCAGTAAACTAGTCCTTCTATAATCCTCCTAAACCAGTAATGAACAACCACTGTTATCCATCAAGTAATAAGTATGTAAAGGAAAATTCTGCAGGATAAGCAGTCAAACAAAAGAGCAGACTTTAAGACTGAAATAGTAGAATTCAAAAAAAAAAAAAAAAGGCTACAGAATACATGTCCAAGAACAAAGGCTCATGAGAAATAATTCCATGTATTCCAAAGCATAGGAATATCAGGTCTTTTTTGCTAGTGTTTCCTTTTCTTAGAAGTTTTCCACTAGAAAAATTCTAGAAGAAAGCTGAATACAGCAGAGAATCTTGGAAATGTCTACAACATTTTCCTAATGCTAACTTTTCTGTCATTTGAATCTACAACTTTTTGACAGACTATCTTCAAGGAGCAGCTACTTCCAGTATCAAACTAAGAGGTTTAAACAGCAGCTTTTCAGAATCAAGTAGTATTCAATTCTTTCAACAGTGGCACAGGTGACAGAATAAAGTGAGCTTACTAAATTTTTTTTCCCTAGACAGTAAAAACTTGGAAGGAATGCAAACACTTGGGAAGGAAGGACAAGAACACACAATTATCTTGACATAAGATATAACAGAATATGGATATGAAATAAAGAGAACGTATTACAATAAGTGTGCAAAGGGATGCACTTCAGCACAAGGGGAGTGTTTGGCAGAGTAAACACATCTCAAGTTTTTTCTTTTTAGATTTTCCTTTTGAAACTGTTGCTCCTCTTTGACCTTGAATGTAGATTCTGAAATAATTTTAACAATTTTTACCTGTGAAATGCTTTGTTCCTTTTTCAAATAACCGAATGTTGTTGTATAAGTTTGAGAATTCCTCCTGCAAGTCCTTCATAGTCTGTTTTCTGTTTGCTCCAGAGGAAGATGTTGAAGACGTAAAAACAGAACGCACAACTTCCTGATAAGTTTTTGTTAAAGGTCTTAGAATGGGAAAGAAGAAAACATTAAGCAAAAAGTAAAACTGTAGGTTTTCCCAGATATATCAGCAATAGAGAAAACTATTTCATTACATAGTAAAAATGAATGAGATATGAATGTCACACATGAGATAAATAAAAAGGAAATAATAGAAATCAAGAAAAAACACTGGCAAATTAAAATGTACTTTTGCAATTGCAAATGTACTACTCTTACAGTATGCATGGTATGTAAATGCTTGCCATGGTTTTAACTTATAAAAACTCCTAAACGGAAACAAGGTGAAAGATAGAAGGATTTCCAGAAGCAATACTATTCACAAACTTTCAGGGGTCTGTGGACAGATTTCAGGACCTTCTAAAGATGCAGTTACTATTACTATTGCACTCCAAGTTTATTCAAGTTGGCTGTTACAGTCTTACTATGTGCCTTTTGCTCTAAACACACATATTCACATCATCTCTTGTATGAAACATCTTTTAAAAGATGCACGGATTATCTTTGTATAGATCAGTTTGATGACGTAGGTACTACTCAGTTCACACAGGTAGCAGTGAAGTCACAGAAGGCAGGAAACATGGACATACACCAAAGGCTGTACAGAAGATGGGACTAGTGAAATCCCAACATGTGTAATGGGGTGGAAACACACTCATGGAGCTGAAAATAAGCTTGCTGACAAAGCATACAGAACCACATACTGCTAAGCAGAAGCATTATTTCTCATTATTGTGTCAGCACAGCTTTCTAACACCTAAGGAGTATGTAACATGAAGTTGTATAGAAAAAGAATATTATGATTCACTTCTATCAAATAATCAATTTTTTCTAAGCAAGAAAACAGACTGAAGATTCATCTGAAGTGAATTAAGAATTTTGTAACTCCAGCTGAATTACAGAAATTACCTTCTTAGATGTTCGGCAATTTCTGTAATAAGCTCTTCAGGGCAATCCTGCAGGCGGGTCTTTAAGACATCCTCAATTTCCTCTTGAGACATGAAAGGGAACTCTGGCTGCTTATTCCTACCTGTAGTTGCCATGAACAACATTCAATGAGAAAACATTCCATTTAGTATTGCTGCAACTACTCTGTGGCATGAGACACTGAAAATCCAAACATCCACAGAAGAAACGCATTATCAACAGTGGAAAAAAACGGATGACTATACAGGACAGTTACATTTTACACGAAAAACTAACAAAATTTCTCTTTCCATTACTTAGAAGCTTCTGAAGTAGTGTACAAGGACATTTATTTTTGATGAGACATTTCAGGCCCACCTGCAAGTTTAGAAACCATAATCTCTCCAAGACCAGACAGATTTTAAAGTGCCAAAACTGAATAGAGTGTTCCTATTTGAAGGATTTCACAAGTTTTTTGTTTTTTTAAACTCCATTTAGTAAGGTACACAATCCTGTAACACAGTATCCTAAACTTGAGGTTACAGTATAAAATTTGAGATGTTACAAAACAATATTAAACCAGAAGAGATGTGCCAGTAATAAAACCCACTTACGTGTTGCTTGTAAATGCATACAAATTAGTGCAGCTGTGTTTTGATTTTGCACAAAACATGAAGTTTGCCTGCATGCTGCAGAATTTAGTTTTTACATATAAGAATGAGATAAGGATGATGACATAGAACCATAAAAGGACAGGCATTCCACGCTCAAGTTGTGGCTTAAAACAGGTTTATTCTGCACATAAAGTAACTGCATGTACGGAGATCAATGATGTTCCTAGTTGTGCCACAGAAGCAATAAGCATACAAAGTTATATAAACAACTGAAAAAGGAGCTTAAGTCAGGTTTTGAAAGGGTCTTATTTACATTTGAATGGTTTCATCTGAATTTATCTTGAGATTGTGATTCAATCTATATATTACTATACAATTACAAGAAGCAACGGTGGTAACACATGAAAGGCTACACCAAAAAAAAAGTGATTTAACATTGTTTTACTCAGTAATTGAGAAGTCCTGAAAAATAACTTCATTTATATGTGAATTACAACAATCAGTGAGAGCAATATCAAACAAAATTAATATGCTGTACTTCATAACTTCAAATATCATGTTTAAAAGTATTTTTCAGTCAGTATTGAAAGTCTAAGTACTATAATATAAAATAGAAGCACACATTTCTAGTGCTCCATTGAATAAAAGAAAGAACATCACTGTTTCATTTGCAACCACTGTTTGCTCTAAGTCTAACAATGCTGGTTTTTACTTCTTAAGAAGCCATCTATGCTCCTTCTCCTAATTGAGAAGGTAGAGAAATGGGTGCCAATAGGGAGTGACTCAAATTCCTTTAAAAAGTCAGCAGTTATAAAGGTAGCTAGCTCAGATGTAAAAGTCTCAGCTAAACAATATGAATATTTTTTCAAATATTAAAACTTAGTTTTGACTTTATATTTTATCCCTATGGAGGAAAACTGTTTGATTGCTATGATTTGTTAATTTAGGCCATTCATTTACCATACACAGTTGTTACAAAATCAAGTATAACTTTCATCCCAAAATCTACGGCATTTCCTACATAAAACAAATAAATAAATAAATATAAAATGGTCTAATTTCCTTTACTTAAATTTCTTTTTAAAAGACTAAGCTATACTTTTCAGTGAACATGGTATGTCCATTTTATTTAAATAGCAACATCATATATCCACTAATACAATTCTAACTAAATGGTATTCTCATCTTCTTTGACATTTTACCTGACCTTACCTACACAGTGGGAGAAGAACAGACACGAGGAAAAGCAAGTGATAAAAATGCATTGAATAAACACGAATAGATAGTACCTAAAATAAAACTACAAACCTGTGACAGTCCCCTGTGACTCTTCATCGCTGTCAGCATCTTTTCTTCCTTTCTTCTTGGTTTTCTTAACCTTGATCTCTCTGGCATTGCCACCACCTCCTGCTCTCACGCTTCCACTGCCCTCTGGTGGGGAATTACTTGCTTAGTACACAGGAAAGTGGTAGCGCTTAAAACTTTTACATTAGTATCATAACTATCTGTGTTATTTGTTAATGAATTTGTTAATGTTGTTGAATAAAAAGTCACAACCTGATTCTCAACACAACCTAGAACACATATTCCAGAATATCAAGACCATCAGTTTCATCCTTAAGAAAACAAAGTAACTGAGTCAAAGCTTTGTTTAAGCCAATGTCATTAATAAACACAAATACTAATCATATCAAATGCACATATGATTAAAAAGAAAAAAAAGAGCAATATCTTTCCTCCAGCTGAAAATAGATGAAATACCAGTGTCCATAATGCAATGGGAGATTTTCTGTTGGTTGAAAATAGCACCTTAGTAAGCACTTAACATCTTTATCCAGTGATGCTGAATAACTGAGCTTTTCGAAAATATTTCAGACAGTGTAACTTTGTTAATTTTCAGAGGAAGAATCCTACATGAATAGCAGTTATCCAAAATATTCCTGGAAGCACACATTCAATTAACTAGAGCACTCAATCTTTTTTGACTTTTCCTAGATGACTTTAAAGCAGTGAGATGTTCCAGTTCTGCCACATGTAACAAATTACTTTGTTCGGAGGTCCTGTAATCAATGTATTCAACTGCAGACAGAATTTCAATTTGTTATACAGTCGCTCTCCACAAAGTAAGCTGTTCTGCTGTTTGTTCCCTTTTTCATAGCTTGTTGTTATTTTTTCACCTGACAGAAATTTAAACTCCAGAATAACTGTTCTATACATATCCAATGCCTTAAGAAAGTAGGTATTTTTTCAATTTAAATATATGGTCCAAGATTCCAAGTAACTGGATTATGTAACAGTACTATTATTTAAGAAAAGACAAGATGCTACTACTTATAAAGCTAACTGCATCTGTTACATGCTATACATGGATTTTTAAGCATCACTTTGCAGGAACAACAAAAAAAATAATTAGTGCTTTTCACAAGCTTATTTGAAATATAATTGCATTACAGTCATTACATTACATAAACTGTTATGTTAGATTTTTTTAGGTAATACACCTAACAATCCATAAAAAAAACATTCAGGGTAGTGCTTGCTGATGGTGCAGCATATGTTACCTGTGGATATGAATTCATCTAGTCACCTAGTACAGGCTCAGTAGAGTCTCACTCCTCAGAGTGCTGAAAACTGAAGCCATTCTGTTATGACAGATCAATTAAGTTTCAAGCTTCTCTGCCTAAGCTATGGCCTAGAAAAATCTCTCTCTTGTTGAGATAGAATATACTGTTTTACTTTGCAGATGAGTATATTCAATTAAGTTAAATGCATCAGTGCTCTAATTCTCTTACTTGTAGCAGCATATAACACTCTGCATGTGAGTTCAATATAGATTGCTCAACTGTGTTGTAGCAATACAAGAGCCATATACAGTTTTTGGCACTGAAAGTACCGTCTCCAATCTGACTAACATTTTAAAAACCAGAAAGATTTCAATGGGTTAAACCTACACATTTTTTCTTCTTAGATTAAAATCCATCCAAACAGCCACCATGCAAATGGAGTAAAGTTTAGGATTAATTTAATCCAGGATATACCTCAAAGTAAACTGTCTTAATCCCCAAGTAACTGTTACATGTGCAAACAACAGAAAATTCTCTGGCATGGGTTTCTCAGAAAAGATGTCAAATATTCTCCAAAAAACCACCAAGAAACTTATTCTCAATTTATACAAAGTTATTTTAGAATTAATATCTCAAGACTAGTAAGAATATTTTAATTTTCCTGGATTCCTGAAAAGTGGAGACTAAAAGTGTATCTGCACTGTATAATAAAAAATGGTATAGGTCCCTGAGCTAATACTGGTTTTGCTCAGATTTATGTGACCATACTGTATACAATGGATTCCTTGCTTTTAAAACCAGCTGTCTTGTGTTGGACTCACTCAAGAGACCTTTATGGTAGTTCCTCTGCACTTCTAAATCGGAAACTAGTTCTCACAGACATAGCTCAGATATAGCTACATCCACAGTATAACGATAAGTGGTTGGGTTATTTCTTAAATATCTTCAGCAATGGACTGGAGAGTACAAAATACACAAACTTTAAGTATTTCCAAGGAAAAACAAGCCTTTTTTTTTTGGCTTTAGCTAACATTGATGGGTTTTTACCTGTTGCTTTCTTTCTTCTTTCATCCTTTTTGTCTTTTCTATTAGCATATGAATTCTCTAAACTGGAAGCCTGTTTTAAATCTTCTTCAGTGATTAAATTAACAGGGTTGTTTTTCATTTCCTAAAGTGAAGAACATGCACTTAATAGCAAAAAGATACATGCAGGACCAAAAGATACATAAGGAAACATTTAAGCTGTTTGACCATTTTCAAGTACACTAACCAAAGACCATGTCTTCCAACTGTAACACATGAAGAGATATTTATTCTCTTCAAAATTTGGCATCTGATCGTACTGTGTGTGTTCCCTGAGTGCACCTGAATATACATTAAATTACACTGATTACATATACATACATTTTCTTCATTTATTTTCATAAGAGATGTAAAGAAATGATAACAGTAAATAGAAAGTTACATAAGTTATCCTCCAACACTCAACGTGCACTGCATCTTGACCACTAAAAAAACTGTACCTTTTCAGCTTTCTGTTGCATCATATCAGAAAAGAGGTCAGCACAGCTGCTTAGAAATTTCTCACTGACTGCAATGGTGTCACTGAAGACTAAACCTGAAGAGTTTTTGTTTAAAGATCTCATCACTTGCTGAAGCAAAATCCCAGCATCTTCTACTGACAATGAACTGGGCAGAAGAGTCTAGGGTAAAGAAAATCAAAATACAATAATCTCACATGGGGATAAACAGAATCTGGAGATGTGCCATTTGACATCTGTTATCTATTTAGAAAACACTGCACTTTTAAAATTAAACTAGTAATTTAAGAGTACACACTATTTGAAATCTTCTAACATCCTAAATAATCATTGCCCTAAAAATATGTACTACCTGTGCAAATGCATGGCAACTTCTTGAAAATGAAGCTTAACAGATACAGAGTAATGCCAAACACAAAACAACAGCAAGACTTAAAAATGACAAGGTAGTGTAGACATAAAATTAGGATTTAGCGAGGACAAAATGACTAAGATCCCTTTGCTTACTGAAAGTTTTGTAAGAGTTCATCTTAGACTTTTTAAAAAAAAAAAAAAGCCCAACAGAAATATATTGCTCTCTAGCAGAATACTTTAGCACTAATTTTTAAATAAAGTTAGTCTTACATATTTATTAACTGAATATCAGTATGTCCTTGACGCCTTAAAATCTATATAATACAGGTTTTATGGCTACACCTTTCCCTGTTTTTTTCAGATCAAATCAAGGGCAAATAATGCCTTTTTACTTGTCATTTTAAACTGAATTTTCCTCTTTGACAACATGGAATTTCATTACACATATGTGCAGTTTCAATAAGATATCATTTGACACAAAAATAAAACAAAAGAAATAAATCCAACAACAGTAACTGAAAGGATTGCTTACTGCTACGTCTATCCAGTTTCCGGAGCTGATGGCTTCCTCTACAGAGGCTTCAACTTGATCCACAATTTCTTGACCAACACAAGCTGCTCTCAGAAATAAGAGCTGTGTTGACTTGTATCTTTTTTTGATGTAGTTTGCTGGGTCGGGGATACCAAGTCTGTACAATGCATCGAATTCTATAAAATAGTTAGATGTCTGTTACAATTAAGTTCCTTCATATACATACAAGATCTTAGGGGACAATTTTATTCTGAAAGCAGGAAATGAAGAATTACATATAGTTTTTATAAAAGTAAATGCAGCCTTAAGCTAATGCTGACCTAAAACTTAGTTCAATACAAACTACACCTGAACACTGTTAATAGAAATATGAAGATTAAATCATGGACATGACTTCGGTCTGAGTTCAGAAAAAAAATGGGTTTTTTTCCCCAGATTCTTATTCAATTAAGTATATATCTTAATTATATTTTAATTATGTAATTAAATATTTCCAAGGTATTCTAATATAAGATGAACAATATTCACAATATATACAATGCCTAAGTGTTTTGTTTTCAAAAGTTACTCTAATATACTCATAGAATCATGCAATGCTTCACAAGCAAAGCATTTCAACTATTTGGCAGCTTATACTTAAGATGTTCAGAAAACATTTAAAGACTTTGACAGATACTCTATCAGTCAAACAGTATTATAGAAACACTTATTACTACCACTGTAAATTATGGCACATCTTTTCAGCCTGCAAGACTAACTGTTACTTAGGGACAGACTCTTTGGGACATTCCTCTATTTATTCAGGTCCACATTTTCCCATACACATAGGTGTTTTAAAATATCATCATCCAGCATTAAATTACACAGAGTTGTCTGGATTTAAATCAGGACACTACTGCTACTCACTCCAGTTCCACAGATATTATTTTGGAAAAAAATTCTTCCCGTGCACTGCAAATTCGTACTATTAACAGCCAAAGTTTGGTTGTAATCTGGACACCTGCCACGATCATCTGAAAAGTCTACAATGAGCGGTCTAAGAAATGTTTTCGAAGCAGTAATAAAAGCAGCATTTGTAGTTCTGTCTGTGAGACATATACTGTTTAGCAATATGGTTCAATCTGCTGAAATAGTTGTCATAAAGTAACACACATGATTATAAACAAGATGGTCTTTTAACAAAGGAGTATCAAGTACTGTATTGATTTTTATTTATTCTTGTGAAGCTTCACTCTAGGCACTAGCTATATTAGGGTAAGATCAGTTACCTAAACTAGTTTAAAAACATATTTTATCTGTGAGAATATAGATTAATTACCTAAGTAACCATTCTGCTTGAAAAAAGAATCCACCCAGTTGCTCTGTGTTCTGGCATAGATATCTGGAACAAACACAGCCTTATCCTGTCTCCCACCAATCACAGTGCCTTTTAGACGACCAGTGTTAACAAGTTCTTCTAGTAAAGCTACAAGAAGAAAATAAATTAAGAGACAGTTTCCATGTCAACATATCCATTAATCAAAAGATAGCAATTATTTTCCCTAGTTTGCTTTTTCTTTCTTCCCACCAATTAGTTGTTTGTGCTTGTTCTAGTGAAACATTTCCAAGCTCTATCAATTATTTTTAACACTTGAGAATGTCTTCTTAAGAGCTCTGGAAATCATACATTTCAAAACAGTGAGCCACAATGGTAGGATCAAAACATTTTTTATATGTAGGCAGTTCAAGTTTTTAATTTAGAAAATGCAGACATAAGAGAATCTTTCTCTGGCCAGACAGTAAAATATATGAGCATTTTATTAAAAATGTTCTCTTTGAATTTATTGCTTGCATGTTAACCAAGATGGAAAAAAAGAGATCTAAACACACTAAAATGACATGAAAAAGTCATGAAAAACTGCTACCTAAACTGTGTAACAGTTGCCAATAATAACCTCTTGAGAATGAACAAATACTGCTGGACAAAGAGCCTACTGGTAACTGGCAGTACCAAAGTACTAAGTATTTCTTGATGCTAAATGAGATTTTTTTCAATCCTTCAAAGGTGTATAGGAATATCTGATTTGCTTCCTATGTTCTGCTTTTGCCTTTTTGTAATACAGTAGATACATTTAAAAAAATCAGTGACATCAACTGCTAAGCTCTGCTAATTTCCAGAGCTTTATTGCATGGTTTTTTTATCCTCAGTTTGAGTTAATTTCTATTTCATTAACAGACAGGTTTTACTCTGGAACAAAACACTAAATGGTATCACATGGTATGGCTTCTTCCTCACTACACAAGCAGCAGTCAACATTACAACATGTTTACTACAGCATACAGAGGTTTAGCAGGAAAATTTACCGGAAAACATGGTTCCAGAAGAAATACTGCATATTAAATCGTGATATTTTTGGTCAAATATGCCTATAGTGTAGATGAGCCTCTATAAGCTAGCAGCTATTGAACACAACTTCCACTAGCACAGCTGAACAGTACTTACACTAAAAAAATACAGAAGAAAGAGAAACCGATTTAAGCAAGATATAGTTTTATGTAATCTAAGACAAGAGCTAGAAATCATGTTCTGCCATGGTTCAGTTACACTGTACAAAATGGAGTTTATAAGACCAATTCCGGAAATAAAATTAGATTTTTATACTTCCTAATATTTTAGTAACACTTAGAAAATAAGAGTCAATGTGCCTATACCACTTAAGCAACTGTCAGACAATACAGTTCTCTGGTTCTCTTGGTTCTGATTCCAATTCAACTTCTTCTTACTCAAAGTTTTATATGAAAAAAAATTAGACTTTAAGGGATTTTCAACCAATTTTGTGGAGCACTAGTAATGAAGTAGAGTCTTTAGAGAAAGAAGACATCAGAAGAAAAGAAGTGAAATGAAGTCGTCAATTAATTTCTGTATTATATGAAGTGCCAGTTCTAAAACTCCAAGGCAGAGGAGGTGATCTCAGAGTTTTCACAGACCCTGCTACAATTATGCCTGGATGTTATTTTGTTTTAAACCAACAGGACCTCTGCAGAACTACCATAATTTCACACTTATTTTTAAGGGTGACCAAGTAGTTTGCTGTGTTCTATTAGGTCTCTGTCAAAGTCTGGTAAAGACAGTAAGTATCCCTACATGTCTGTCCCACATCAGTAACATAATATTCAGAAATGAAGCACATCTGTGATTTCATTATGCTTTTTAACCTAAAGAGTTTCTCATTTCTGGAACTATTTTCTATCATAACTTCATGCCAGCTTAAGATGAATAGCAGCACAGCTATGCGACAGAACCAAAGAATAATATTTATCCTGTCTAAACCCAAGTGTTGATTAAATAATTAGCTCTTTGTAAGTTATACAAACATTACATTGAGCTTACATTTTTATTCTGGAAGAGACAGAAAACTGACAAAGACCACTTTAAAACACACTGCAAATAGTGACAAACATAAAAGGTGAAAAGTAACATTACAAGGTATTTTTCAGGTTTTCAGCATTTGTGAAATTGAAATGATATCTCAGCAAATGGACACAATAAACTCACATGTACTCTGGCATCCCAGGAAAATACTAAAAATACGTATTGTGATGATTACTGGTGACAAGAAAACACTATAACTAAAATTCACATTAACACTGTCCACGAGCAAAGCACAATGATGTACTTGAAGGACTTGTTTGAAATAGACTGTAACAAAATACTGACATTTGTTGGGTATCGAAATATTACTATACTGCAATTTAACAGATTTTCCTTTTGATCTATGAATACCTGGATGGTACATTAAAGAAGAAGTGGAAATTTTAAATTGATTATGTGAAAGTAGAGTGTTTATATGGTTTTATTTAAGTGCTAATATTTTATTTTTTATTGAATAAGCTTGTTGCAAAGAACAAGAAGGTAAGCAGAGACATACCACAGTGGAGCTAAAGCGAGCAATACCCTGAAGGCAAAAACACCCAGTGAAATAAAAGAGAAGTATTAACTTTCTTGAGAAGAGATAGAAAACCATTAAAGGATTTTAAAGACCAGCAGTACCCGGTCAGCCAGCCATACAAGACTAACGACGCTTGAAGCAGCGTTTTGGAGAGACAGGAGTGGGTACAAAGAGAAAAACTGCAACACCAGAAGTGACGAACAATTAAGTAGTGCCTAAAGATTTCAGCAGTTGGATAGGGAACCTTTATGCATTTCTGTTTAGAAAAGGAACTGCAGAAAATAAAACCAGTTTAAGGATATGCTTTATCTCTCAGCACATAAAGTCATTTAACTAAGAGTATAACAAAAGCACTACCTCCGTTATCACAAAGAAAAGTTAGTAAATAAAATCCTGAGCAGTTAATGCTATTTGAGTACATAAAATCTGTCCCCTTTTGTGTGCTTCACTGATAAAACTGCCAGTAGCTAAGGGCAAATAACGAAACAGATGACTAAATAAGTACTGTAATTCTTGCATCATTCTGCCCCCAGAGGCATTTCATCAACATATGCTTTCACAGCTTTAGACACAGAGAACATCCCTTCAGTCATGGATAGCACAAAAGGTTTAATACTTTCTACAGTGAAGAGAAACACATTGTTCTTTATTCCAGAATTAAGGCTATATACTAAAATGCTTCTTTGAAAGCACACTTATAGTAATGAAGAATTAATTACCTAACAGACACAAAATATTCTGAATGAAACTCACAGTAAAGTAAATGTTCTTGAAATCCATACCGAGTGATCAAGTTACTTACAGGTGTAGGCCTTGGAAAAAAAAAAACAAACAACAAAACAATATAAGTTAATGACATGAAATTGATATGGAGAATCCATAAGTAAGAAAGGTTACTCCAGATGGACAAAACTACATAGTGTCTTAGCCTCAGGGTGCTACATTGATGTTTGAAATAGTCTACAAGGTTTTAATTTTGAATTACTGTGAAGTTATATCTTACAAAGCTACTATAATTATTGTAAGGAAACTTTTGCTCTCCCAAGTTTTTCTCTTCCTACAAATTGCCACAGAAGCTTATTGCTTTAATAAGAAAAACTGATATATAATCACATGTAGTGATCACATCAATATGTAACTGACTAGGAAGTCGCAGAGTGATAATGAGGACAGATATTCTACAAGCAGATAAAAGAACTATGGATTAACATTTTCTTCAGCCAAAAACACAAAGTATGTTATATATTGTATATTGTTACACTTCCCTTGTTCTCGTTTCAAAAGGAGGTCCCTGTTTCTAACAAGTGAGTCTAACGTTACTGAATATTTCACTTAGGAACTGAACTTAAGGGAATCTATACATAGCTCTTTCTTTTCTTTTCTTTTTCAATCACAACTGAATTTGGTCCATAAAGACCTATGGTAAAAATACTTTAACACGTGGTTGCAGGCATTGTAATTTACCGAGTAATCGCAGTGAAGAGCCCCCGGATGCGTGCTCGATGGCGGGACACAAAGGCTTCTGTAAAAATCACCCCACGGTTTTCCTGGTCTAGTTGCCCACGAATAATTCTGCCCAAACGCCTGGATAATGCCTGTAAATAGACGAATTTAGCTTCTCTTAGAATGTCCTCTTCTATCAGATATACTTGTATCTAATGGCGACAGAAAACTCTGCAGAAGAAATAAGTGTGGTTTGGAGATGCACTATGAAAACTAAGATTTAATCTTTGTCTTAGTTTTGTACGAACCATTGACTGATGAATTCACTGGCCACTTTTTCAAAAACTCGAGACAAAAATTAACAACAATAAACACGAAAAGGTGCAAACAGTTTATAAATGTGCATCCTTGCAAAGTGAACTAAAGCCAGGAGATACTACCCAAGAAACAAAGAGAAACCACGTAACAATTTCTGTATGTTAGAAATCTTTTTGTAGAAACTGATCATGCAACAAATATTAGACGAAATCTGTTCACACATTGAGAGCCAATAAGGTTGGCTGTGGTACCTAATATCACTGTTCACTTGACACGTCACGGGATTATCCTTTGAAAAAAGCATCTTCCAAATAAAATTCAACCTTGACTGAAAGTCAACAAAACAGAATTCTCCCTACCCTTTTAAACACTCTGCACTCACTAACTAAACGTAAATAGTACTTCTGGTTCTAGTTTGAATGTCTGGCTTCAGTTCCTAAAAATTAATATTTATTTTATCTTTTTTGAATAAACTGAAAGGACTCTACCATCGTATTTCTGCTTCCTGGGTAGCTAATTAGACTGGTGAAATTACCCCTACATCTTAAGTGTTTCCAAAAAATTTTCAGATCTTACACTAATCTAAGATGTTCCTAACACTACTAATCCTAATCTGTTCCTAACAGTCACAAATATTCAGAAGAAATTTTGCCAGTAGTGAAAAAGCAAACATCAACCCCAACCTGTGAACAGCTGTTAAACTGCAACCTTTATGTACCTGATACTTTTCTGCTTAAAATGACAAGCAGTTCATCACAATTAAAGCAAGCAATGGATAATGTAAAGATAACAAAAGAAGATGAACACAATCAATTCTACATTTGCTAGGTTGGTGGCTTGCATCACCTGTATCAGGAAGTCTCCTGGAAGGTCATATGCCTTACAAAGTTCTGATATTGTCACCTGGCCAGTTTCCTGAAGTTTATCATTTATTTCTTCCGCTAATTGATCCAGGTAACTCCTTATTTAAAAACAAGAAAAGAAAAACAAACACAACACATTAAGTGTGAAATTCAAGATCAGCCTCGAGGTGACATGCTGAATTAGTTACTGACCTCTTCTAATATACCTCTTTCTGCTGCACGTTTACAAAAATAAACTGAAAGTTATTTTAAATGAATAATGGAGAACAATGTAAGTGAAAAGGTGTGGTTTCTTAAAAAGCCTGCTAACCAGTATTAAGGTGGGTCATTTATCTGCTTGTATGAAAATGTCAAAAAACAGAACGAGGAAAACATGTCAATGAAACTTAGAAAAAGGCTAGTGAGCAAGACGGGTCTTATTTCAAGAGAGCCAGGAACTTCATATTCTTGGATATGAATAGATCCTGCAGCTTGATAAATAATAAGGACCATCCATAAGAGTACTATTTCAGTGGTTGTTAGTGTGCTGAAAGCCATGCAATATTTAGCTCAAATATCTGAGGCTAAGAGATGGGAAAAAATGAGAAGGTTTGTCAACAGCTGAGGTAATTAGCACAGCCATAGAGCAAATGAGATGTGGCTGCTGTACACAAAGACACTAGGTAAGAAATGAACTCTCTGAAGTGCAGGACACTGGACACAGACATTCAGTAAGGCCTTTGCTCCATGGATTCACTGGATGCTTTGCTGAGATAGGCCTCACTTGCTGTTAGGAAAACTAGCATTGATCACCACCAAGCAGCCCCAGCCCCAGCCAAGAAAAATTTATTTCACTTCAGAAGCAAAAAAGGCTGGACGTTATTTTTAGCCTGTGTTTTAAAAAATAAAAAAGATGTGAATTATACATACTGCTCCTGAAAGTACTCACTCATTTATAAGCTGTCCCAATACAAGCTGAATAGTTTTTTCAGATTTAACGATGTCATTAGCTCTGTTTTCAATGTGTAGAAGGTCCACATTTATTACCTAAAAAAAAACCCCAAACCAACAACAAAACCTCTTATCAGAACTTTAAATTGAAAATAATTCTCAAACATTGAGATATTACTTACACAATTCTATGTCTTGAGGAAAGGTGTTTTTATTTTTTTCTACTATTGCATACATACAGACTTAACCTGCGTTTTGAAATAAAGCAGTGGCGCTTTAGGGGAAAAAAGCTCTCTTTGCAACTGTTTCTTTTAACCCTATAAGGTTAAAAGAAACCTATATAATAAACAAATACCAGAAAGCGATGTCAGAAAATAGAAAATTGTCTTTCAGAGAGGTTTTCTGATTCCAGATAATTTTGCTTAAGCCAGAAGGGAAAATTAGTCACCGAGGAAGACTACTGGAGGATAAAGATTAGTGGAGACAAGAGATTAATGAAGAGGGAAGATCCAAAGAAGCATGCAAAGTTAATTATGCATGCTACTGCAGCTTTCAATTTAAATGGGAAACCTATATTTTTTCTGATTGCCCTCCACAGTTTACAAAGAAAAGAGTTCATAAAGAAAATCTGCATATTTCAGTGGTGATTTCAGAAGTCCTAGATTAGCATTAAGCAGAGAGGAGCTTTCAGTAAAGCAATAAATGGATGGATTAAGTAATCTGCAGAACTCTGACATGAGTTACCGGTTCTTCATAAAGTTTGATCTGCTTTAGAAAAATAACTTAGCTGGAGTATAACTAATGAATGTCACATTTACAATATACATGCTGAAGAAAAGAAACAAGTAGATAGTTTTATTAGTAGAGTTACCTGTTGTAAGTCGACAATGTTAACTCGACCTTTAAGAAAAGTACAAATACACTTTTAGTACACAAAACATATTTGAACAAAATTTAGAATACTGCACAGTCCACTGTGCACACAATATTTCTTTACTTTTTTTTGTAGACCAATGAAACTAGTCCATGAGTACCAAAACAGAGATCGTCGAAACTTTCTACCTTTGCATGATGCTGCTAACAAAAGACCAGCAATTTTTAATTCACTCCAAGCTGTCACACTGATATGATACAAAATGGCATAACACAAACTGAGGCATTCCTGTGGTAATAGTAACAAAATGACTAATCTGTATAAACACAGTAAGAAGTTAGTTTTTCAAAAAACATGATGCTGTGAAATTCACCCTTAATTATAATTTAAAGCACAATACACTGCCTGTTCATTAAAACCATTGACGAAAAGCAGCCTGAAGAGTATTTGCTTTCTTATATATTTAAGTCAGATCTTACAAAGCAGATGGCTCTTCACACTGGTAAAATAAAAGATCTGTCAATGACAAGTTACAAATATCATTATTACCATGGCACAAAAGGAGAATGATTTTGAAACTCCAAATCAAGGCCAAACATCTGGGCCAGATACTTAACCACATTAAAATACCAAATTTCCTTCAAAAGGGTTCTTAGACAATGTTACCTCAGAAATTCTGTATGGGTGAAAATAAACCAAGTAACATATCTTGATATGCTTACCTAGAAGCTTGACACAGATCTGAAGCGAAAATAAAGTAACAGTAGGTGAAATAATGTGTAGGTAAAGGAAATGGAAATGGGCTGACTTTTCCTGAAAGATTAAGGCTACTGAAAACTTTCAAGCTCTTTCTGTAGTCTTCAAAATAAACTTCCAAATCCAAAGGAAGAAACCAAATGCCACACTTACCACCACAAACATGAAGCTCATCCCGGATCTCCTTACTAATCTGTGCTGGAGTGACATACTCCTTGCCATCAAGTGTGTGCACTACTTCCAACTGCTTCTCCGCAATCAGTTTAGTGACAATTTCTATACAGTTCCGTTCTGACAATCTATCAACAGCATAAAGAATAAGCAGTTATTCTAAGTAAGTACTTGCTAAAATTATCTTTAAATTCATGTTCCCAAAATACTAAGCACAGGAAGTACAATGAAGATTACTTGCTGTTCTGTGTGAATATACTTTTTCAGACAAAAACCCCTACTGCCTGAATCCGCTTTATCACGCACTAAATCCATATGGCTTCACTTACTCAGGTCATCTCTCCAAAACAACTTTTAGTCTCCTCCTGAACAGCTGTCAGCCCCGTCAGCTGTACGAATGCACCTGCTGGTGAATTTTGGAATGGCTGTGCTTAAACAGTTCGTGTCTTTCATCCTTCTGTCCATTTCTATTTTATTTTGAGCGTTCGGGATTTATTATTTTTTTTTCTCTTTAATAAAAACAAGTTCTGGGCAACCTCGACTGGTCAGCCAGACATAAAGAAACAAAGCACTGGAGCTGTGCCCATATCGAGCAGCTTGAACATACCCGCTCGCTTTCCTGGGCCCGCACGTAGCTTGTGGGGTCCCAGTTGCCTCTCGGGGCTCACGAGCACCAGCACAAGGGGAACTACCGAGCAGCCGTGCCCGGCTGAGTCCCCCGGGTGTGCCCGGGCCGGGGGCCGTGCGGGCGGCGGGGGAAAGGAGCGCGGCCGGCGCGGGGAGGGGGCGGCGGCAGACGGGCCGCAGCGACAGGCGGCGGGCTCGGCGGCGGTGCCGGCGCCGCCCTGCTCACCTGTGGGCCACCTCAGCGAACTGCGCCCGCTGGAAATCGGCCGCCAGCCGCCGGATCTCCTCCCAGGCGGCCGCCATCGCGCCGCGCCGGACACGTCAGCCGCGGCCGGGCGGGCGGCGGGCACCGAGCGGGCACTGACCTCCGCCCGCAGCGCCGCCTGGCGGGCCGGAGCCGCCCCCGCGCCTCCTCACGGCCGCCGTATTGAACACAAACAAACAAACAGCAAACCACGGAAAAAGGGGGGGGGGAAAGTGGTTTCTCCACGCGGGCCTAACTCCAGGAGCTGGAGCCTAGCGGAGGTGGCCACGGGAGCAGACGCACGGGGTTGTCAGCAGCGGCGATTCGCGGGTGCCGCGCTCGGGCGCGACAGCGCCGGCCTGAGAGCCGCTTGTCTGGCGGGGCGGGGACTGCTTAGGGTGGGTCTGAGATGTGAGCCGGGCTTTCAGCGGGTTTGTGGGAATGCGAGCTGCCTTTAGAGCCGCCGTTGCGGGAAGCCGAAATGAAATTTAAAGTGCAAGTGAGTTATGAGGTCACGAGTGTCTCCATTTAGCGGCACCGCTGTTACACAGCGAGGAGCAAACCAAATATATGCGTGAGACCAGAGCTGCACAGAGTTAAAGGCCTTTTCGGCTGTTCCATGAAGTTGGCTTGTCTGTGGCGATGGCTGAGGGCGCTGCACAGGGAGTACTCCCGCCCCAGGGCAAGGAGAGGCAGTCTCAGCCATCAGTGCACGGCGCTGTCCCCGCGGGACAGCAGTAGGAGACTGCGAGCTGCCCAGCACCGGGAAAGGCGTCCATGCTGCTCAGGCTATGTCATTGTCCTTCCATATTTCTTGCTGTTTTCACTGACACCGAGCATCACTCTGTGACTCTGCCTGCCAAAAGTCACGGGAAAATCTTGCTGGCACAGTTGGTGTCATGCTGGGTGCAGTTTAAATAGTGCGAGCAAATATTTTGCAAGGTACTGGCATAGTAAGTTGTAACAGCATGTTTATGGAGGGATAAGTCCGTGGCTTCAGTTTTACTCGTCGTTTTCTCTGAGATGAGAAACTAGGCGCAGGATTCATTTTGCTTAGACATCTGAGGTTCGCTGTTGAGGTCTGGCCTTGGAGCCTTCATAGGCAGCAAGACACGCTCCTCAAATTGTTGTGAAGCTCTTCCTAAAACATACATCTGAACCAAGTTCGCTCACAGAAGGGAGGTACCTGTCTTCCTCCACAGCTAAAGAAGACAGCAAGGAAAATTGCTTAGCCATATCCTTGATGTAGACATATTTCTGTGGAATGAATAGTGTATTGGAAGGATAGGGAAAAATGTGATAGCAATTGTGGGGGCTATTTTTATGAAAATTATATGGAAACAGGCTACCATAGGGACGATCAAGAAAAAGAACTGAGAACTTAAAACTGGATTCCTCCTACGTAACCTTGAACGTATCTGAAGTGCTTTAATTATTTGTATAGTCTGCAGGCTACGGAGATTCCCTTTCAGCTAAAGTCTGAATCTGTCTTTGGACTGGCCAAATTGGGCATTGTAGTTAAGGTCCAAAAGTGAAATATAATGGTGGACCTTCGCTTCTGTGTATGACTTGAGTTCAAGCCACAGTTGCCAGATATTCATATAAATACAGAACAGTTGTAAGCATATAGATATTTCCAGATTGCGGGCTCTGTTTTGAGTCTTCAGTAAAAGAAATTTTATAAGGACCTTTTTCTTTTGAGATGTATGTACACAAGCACAACATGTGCATTAATATTTTCTATACCTAATTGCTATTGAAGTAACAATTCAGATTTATTTTTTTCTGCAGAAATCAATTTTCTTTAGGCAGCTAATAGATTAAGTTAAATCTTCTTTTAAAAATATAGTAGCTGATTGGTTTTACTATACATGCACAAACCTCTTGCAGTTAACTGAACGCTAATGTTATTTGCATCTGTTTTATGCAATAGGGATGATGCTGAAAAATAAAGTTGATATCATTTATTTTACTACGGTACTCCTGAGTTCACTGATTTCAGATCCACCACAGTAACAGAAATGCTTTTGTTTCATTGTTGCAGGTATATGAAAAAGGTGTGAAGGTTTTTGTAGCTTTAATGATAGTGAAAGTTTAAATAAACCTTTTCGTAATTATTATAATATGAATTTATGACTATATTTCATTGACACAAAGCAAAGCAAATAATTTCTTATGAAGGCCATGCACAGAATTGCATCGAATCACTCTGGGAATATTAATTACCCTGTCTTTACTGGGGACAATGAAAGCAAATGATGAGGTTATTAATCCTGTCAAAATGAATCAATGCTGTCTGCATGACATAAAGTACATTATGAAATTTTGTATTCTAATATTCTATAATATGTAATAATATATTAGTTATAGTATGTGGATTTTTTTGACCACATCAAGTATTTTTAGCAGTTCATAGAAAATTCATAGAAAGAATGAATAAGGCAAAATAGAGAAGAACAAAGTTCCTAAGAGGTGTGGTTTATCAGAAAACTTTTTGTTTGGCATAAAAAGTGAATTAGAGGAATTCTGATATGCATAGTATATTTTCCATTCACTCAGAAAGAGCAGTGCCATACTTTTTTAATCTGTGAATTGAATCTAGCTGATATTTAGAGGGCAGTTGGACTGTGTGCAGACTATATGTTTTTGATATAGGGAATTTATTAACATAAAGGCAGGAAATAGCGATGTAACCACTGTTATGATGAAAAAATAGAAATGATGCAGGTGGAAATGAGTAAATAATTGTGTAACAGGATATCTGAAAATAGTTTGTAAACTGAATGAAATGGAGTATAAATTACATTTTTTAAATGGTTCTTTCATTCCATATTTGTCATGATATTATCTTCATAACTTGCTGGTCACCTTTTCCTACCAAACAGATGAGTTTGTGAATTTAAAAGGTTTAGCTGTCAGGTTTTGCTCATTAATGTGCTTACTTTGATTTTAGCAATCAAAAAGGTTCCCTCACATCTCATTTGCTTTTTATTGTGCTGATATTCAAAATTTAAGTAACAATTTTGATTTGGTGATTCAGAAGGATTACTCTGATGAAGGAACAGGTGTCTAATAACCCCTTCCTTTATCAGAGAAAGCTGGCAGGATAAAGCCCAAGCTTTTTTTAAATGATAACTGATTATTGGACTTACACTGGAAGGATTTTCACCCTGGCTGTGTGTGCCATGGGCAGCTTTGGCTTTTTTCATTTTCCCTGTCCCTTTTTAATGCACAGTTATAAATAACAGAACGGTTCGCTTTTCACTGTACTCTTTTCTTTGTTCCTGTCATGTTGCATGGTGGCTGTGCTAGTGGGAGGGGGCTTAGCTCAACCTTACACAGCCTTTTCTGCATAATTGGTTCAGTTAGGAAACAGCATACTTTCAATTAGTTAGTGTGATTACCTGCCTAACTGTAGATAGGAGAGATTTGGTATTCATTTGGTTCTTTCTTGGCAGTGAATATTCATATCAATAATAAAGTCTTCTCTGAGCCAAATATTTATAGACACAGGGTATGAAACAGCACATGTATATGGAAAGTCTCACAAACGAATACTAAATGTATCAGCAGCTGCCTTGTTCGTGTGCTTTATGCATCTGGTTCAGATAGGTATTCATAAAATTATATTCAGTATCAGGTTTTTTACTGTTTTAAGTAACTCTTTTCTTTTTTGTTAATACATTTTTAGTGGTAATGAATTTTTCTAAGCTTTAAAGTATTAAATTCAGTTTATATTCTTTCTTGGCAAAGATAGCTTAAAAGACTAAATGTAGTGAAATGTTGAAATGAGTGAATTCCCGCATTGTTTTTGACCAGATCCCCTTTAATCTTTTCTGAGGTTAAACATAGTATACTGAATTTAAAGTGACCATTTGTTTGACCTGATCTTTGAACATAATTCAGGGGCAGAGACATGTATTCCTGCAGGTTTCAGTCATATGACCAGTGAAAAATCAAAAGTTTGTATCTGTATTTGTAGAACAAATTGAAAAGAACAAAAGCCATTGTAAATACCCATATTTTGTCATTCTACTGAATATTTTGATTAATGCTAAATAGAAGACCAATTTGTCAGTAAGAGCATAGCATGTCATGCTGAGACACTGCAAGCATTAAGTATATCTTACTCTGATATACTGAGTTCCATGATATACATGGAACAAAGCATTGAAGTAGTATATAAAACTTTTATTTGTAGTGAGCCAGAAGTCCTTGTAAAATATTGCAAACAATATAAAATATATGCTATTGCATAAATAAACAAGCATTTATGTGATCAAATGCAACAGAGAAACTTTTAAGGTCAAAATCCAGTGTCAAGCAAAGACTTCAGTAGCAATTAAGATCAGAGGAAGAAAATAAAAGCCCATAAAGATAGAAAGGAAGTACAGATTTATTTTGAATATAATTTCAAAATGCAGTATTGACAAATATGCAAGTAAAAAGAACACCAGATATTTTTATCCCCAGAAAATTTCACATTAGTATATTTTCATAGTTTGATGTGATCTTTGTTAGGCCTATTCTGTAGTTGAGCTGTCATTGATCCCATCCTGAAATAGGGAACTGAGATTCTGCATATTCTTGACAGGCACTGAAACATCAGCAGAAGTGCCAGCTCAGGGCACAGTGTAGATTCAGGTACTAAAGGTGCTAAAAGTCTATTGCCATAAAATGGAAGAGTACTTAATATAAATACAGCATTCTTTATTTCACATAGGAGGGGGAATTTTAATGGAAATGAAGGAACCAGGTTTCAAGCCTGCCTGCCTGCCTCTCTGTCACCTCTTCACGCCTGAAATTGCCGCTTTGATCCATGTGGTTTCCATCACTTTACAGGGGAAGAGGCTGTTGACTGTAGTTTCTCTCCCATCCTCCTTGGGCTGCTTTCAGCCCTGAATGAGAATAGAAAGTTTGGATCACTGGTTTGCCTCCTCTCACATCGCTTCACAGGTGATGTGATCGCTTCACATGTGATCGCTTCACATGTTCCTTATTTCGAAATACAAATAGTAATTGGGTTGTTCTCTCATCCATCTGCAAAGCTGTTTTGGAGTCAGTCTATCTAGATTATTTCATCTGATTTACAGACTG